GGACCCTCCAAAGGGTCACGGACACGCTGCAGATGCACAGGAGGATGAGGCTGAAGCCCAGCACCTGCGGAGACGGACGGCGCTGAGGCCGGCGGCCTGGGCTGGACACGACCCCGTGTCCGTCGGCGGGGACCGTGGACCGGGGCTGCGAGGACCAGAGTCAGACTGTGCTCGGGAGGGAAGAAGGCAGCGGAGCATCCAGAAGATGCAGGGCCCCTGATTGGTCACTCCCCCGCCGTCTTATTGGCTGGCTTAACCACGCCTCATTTGCATACCCAATCAGACAGCGGGAGCCAAAGGAGGGGGCGGGGATTGCGGGGAGTATTTAAACCCGGGTCCCTCCCTCGCCAGCACAGGTGCTGATGGTGAGGTTCGGGGCTGGGGTCTTCCCTGCGATGATGCTTTCCGGTCGCCCCTCACAGGCCCGCGGTGGGGAGGGGGCACAGGCCGCAGGAGGGGGCGGGCAAGGGTGCATTTCCATCGTTACGGGTTCCCGCCTGCTCCCCACCCCGGGGTGCTCCCTGACGGGAGGGGTGTCTGCTTGGGGGGCTTTGGGGTCCCGCCCGGCTCCCCCCTCCAGCCGTCCCCTCCCGTTGTTGGGGTCCGGGCTCCCCAGCGCAGCAGCTGACCATTTTGGCCTTGAAGAGCGTGGACATGCGGAGATAACCCTTGTCCTGGCGGTGGATGTAGAGGAGCTGCAGGGGCCCCAGCACCCAGAGGTACAGGGGGGGCAGCCAGACGCCCGCCGTCCGCAGGGAGCACAGGCTCAGGAAGTCGCGGGGGGCCGGCTGGGGCTCCGTCTCGTTCCAGACCTGAGGCGAGGCCAGGGCGAGCTTCAGGATGGAAGCAGGGCAGGGGACCAGACTCAAGAGCTTAGGGACCCGGAGACATCGGAGGGCCACTCACACTGACGTGAAGAGGTGACCCGCTCTCTCCAGAGCGTCTGATCCCTTCCCAGACCCTTGAGCACTGTCAGCATTTATTTAGTAGAGGAGGATCCAGAGGCCCAGAGAGGTTGAGTAACTTGGTTGATGTCACCCAGCTGGGAAGTGTTCCCATTGGTATTTGACCCAAGGGAGGGATGGGCCTTACAGCCCCCCCCCCCACTTCCGAAACCAGGGAGGGTACTGGCTCCTTCCAAGCTGACTCCCACAAAGGCCTGTCTACTGGGAATCTTATTTTATTTTGGCTTTTGGGGGGACACCCGGAAGTGCTCAGGTGTTAGTTAACTCCTGGTTCTGCACTCAGGAATTATTCCTGGCGGTATCGGGGAACCCTATGGGATACCGGGGATTGAACTCGGATCCGCCACATGCAAGGCAAACGCCCTCCCTCCTCCACCATCGCTCCAGCCCCTCTAGTGAGAATCTCGATCTGCGATTGACCCCAAAGCCTCTTCTACTGGCAACCTTGGTCTAATCTATGGTTTTGGTTTCTTCCCTTTCAGTTCTGGGGATTAAGCCCAGGGACTCACACGGAAGATGCTGCCTCTGTGAGTGACAAAAAAAGGGTGTGGGCCACATGTGGCAGAAACTGTTGGGTCACTCCCAGAGGTCATGCCCAAGGCCTCGCATGGTGCTGCGGTCAAACAAACCCAAGCTCCGGTCTGTTGAGGGTTATCTCTCTGGACCCACCGACAATTCTTTTATTATGATTTTTTTTTTTGGGAAATTTCAACCACCAAGCTGCGATTCTTATTCCCGCCCTCTGGAAGAACCCCGACCTTGAAGTTTAGGGGACAGTGTCCGCACTGGCTCTCTTGGCCCCCAGCTTCAACAGTGGCCCCAAATGTGACTTTCAGCCTCCTGGCATCTCAGCTTTGGACTTTGTGAAATCAGGAGGGGGGGGCAGGGGGCGCGAATCTGAGACTCTCCCTCCAAGTGTTGAAAGCGGCTCAGTGGGGACTCGCCCGGGGTGGGGAGAATCAGTCACCATCAGCGAGTGTCACGGTCTGGCCTGCATGTCCCCTACCAGCCTGGGTTTGTGCCCTCCTCACCCCAGTGTGGCCTCCGCAGTTTCCTCCCCAGAGCCTGCGGAGCAGAGGGCAGAAGAAGGCGCCTGCCGCTATGCAAATAGGGCCCAAAGTCTCCTGCTATGGACAGACAGATGGAGGTGTGAGATCCCTTAAACTTGACATCCTGCCCCCATCCTGGCTGACCCCTGTGGGTGGCCCACCCGTGGGGTTGATTTTGCCTTTGTGCCTTCCAAGTGCCCCTCGCTGGGAGGGGGGGAGGCAAGGCGGGCATGGGAGGGGCTTTCCCCTTCCCTGGTGTCGCAGCCTAGGAGATCTCCAGCACCCCCAGAGAGCAGAGTGGGGGGACACTCACCGTCAAGCCCTCACAGGGCTCAGGCGCGGCCATCGCGCACCCGGGTCCTCCGTGTCCGTCTGTCCGTCTGGGTCAGGCAACTCAGTGTGGTGAAGGGGAGGTGCGGCGGGGATTCAGGATCACTGATCCCGGGGGCAAGGTCCATGCGGGGCTGGAGGGAGGGTGGGGCGAGAGGGGTCAGCCCAGGGGAGGCAGTCGGAGGGGTGCCGGGGGCATCCCAGCTCGGAATGCGCAGTGGGGCATGCCCCCGCCCTCCCGGGGCAGTCACCTATGAACTTCCCGGGGCGACAAGAGTCCAGCAGATGTGTCTCTGCGGAGTGTCCCCGTAGGAGGAGAGACGTGGGCTCAGGCCAGGGGGTGGGAGAGACTGGCCAGTCCTGGGTCCTCTCCAACCTCCCCACCTCCCCCAGCCCTGCATCTGCAGGATCTCCAGTGAAAAAGCAAACACAGTCAGTTGACAAGGAAAACACGGGGAGCTGGTCCCAGCTGCAGAAAAGGCCCCACACAGGACACAGCACATGTCAACATCACCCCACGGAGCCAGGACAAGAGAAACAGCCTGGATGGAACGCTTTCCCCGAGGGGTCCTGCAGCCCGCACCCCCAGTCCTCCCCCAGCCCCCAAACTCTAGCTCCGCAACTAGCAAACACTAGCGGGTAGCTCTGCTTCTTCTCCCCCCACCCCTTTTTTCTTTTGAAGTCTTGCCTTTGGCCCCTGGCCGTCTTTTGTCCGACAAGCGGATTTCCTTGGGTTCTAGAAAGCCGACTCAGGTAGGACTTTCCCTGAAAGGAAGTGCCCTGAGGCAAGCAGAATTGGCGACGAAGACGGGCACTGCCCGGGCAATGTGAGCTGGGACACGCTAGGAGCAGCTCAGGGCTCTGTCTCAGCTCAGGTCGGGGAGGGTTGCTCTCGGAGATTCGTTGCGTCGTTTCTTTGGTTCGTTTCTTTGGGTGACTCTAGGGACAGTGCTCCAGGCTCCTCTCCAAGGGGCTGGGGTACCATGCAGAGCTCGGGGGAACGGGCAGTGCTGGGGACAGAAGCGAAGCTCTGGCAGACACTCGAGTGCTTCGAGCCACCTCCCTGGCCCCTCGAACAATCACTGGATCAAAGAATTGTCTCTCGTGATGTCTCCGCAGTGGAGGCCCTCGCTGTCCGAGTGGGATTGTGAGGGAGACAGCCAACTCGCGAGTGCGACCCCAGGCCGCAGACCCTGAGCCTTTGAGTCCCCTGTAGGGAGGTCGGGTCCATGCTGGAGGTTGAAAGCACTGTGGCCCACAGTAACTCATGGCTCAGGGCTGGGCCAGAGCAGCGGGTTCCAGTGGGAAATGCCTCCTCCCCTTGTCAACCACAAACAACGTAGGAAACTGTTAAAGTAAAGGCTTGACTTTTCCTTCTTCCTCTTCTTCCTCTTCTTCTTCTTCTTCTTCTTCTTCTTCTTCTTCTTCTTCTTCTTCTTCTTCTCCTTCTTCTTTTCCTTTTTGAGTCACACCTGGTGATGCTCAGGGGTTACTCCTGGCTCATGCACTCAGGAATCACTCCTGGTGGTGCTCGGGGGACCCTATGGGATGCTGGGAATCGAACTCGGGTCAGCCGTGTGCAAGGCAAATGCCCTGCCCACTGTGCTATCACTCCAGCCCGGAATAAATGTAAAAATCAAAACTATCCTATTGAGCTTCAATGACTTATGTGTTGGGCTGGAGCGATAGCACAGCGGTAGGGCATTTGCCTTGCATGCGGCCGACCGGGCCGATCCAAGTTCGATTCCTCTGCCCCTCTCGGAGAGCCCGGCAAGCTACCGAGAGTATCTTGCCTGCACGGCAGAGCCTGGCAAGCTCCCCGTGACGTATTCGATTTGCCAGACACAGTAACAACAAGTCTCACAATGTTTCTGGGCCCGCTGGAGCAAATCGATGAACAACGGGAGGACAGTGACAGTGACTTCTGTGTTGCCTTGCAGGCAACCAACCCTGGTTCGATGCCCTGAGCACCACCAAGAGCCAGTTGTTACCTCTGAGCATTGCCAGGTGCGGCCCCCAAACAAAACCAAACCAAGAAAAAAAAAGAAGAAGAAGAAAAGTTTCCACGGAAGCAAAAAGCAGCATCTCACCCAAACTCCCCATTGGGCTTTTTTTTTTCTTTCTGACATTACATATCAGATTCCTACTTTGCACAACCTGGCAGGCTACCGAATGCAGCCTGCCCACACGGCAGAGTCTGGCAAACTCCCCGTGGTGCCCAATCTGCCAAGCACCAGTAACAAGGAAGGGTCTCGCTCTCCTGACCCTGAAAGGGCCTCGAATGTGGCACTTTTTAAAATCTCAGGGCCAGGACGAAGGAGCCGGTTCTGGGGCCTGCTCGAGGCAATCGACATATCAGATGTGAGTGGCCCGGGCCAAAAGGACTCAGGAGAACCAGAGGATGCGTCCCGCTCCCAAGGGAGAGGAACCCACCCCGAGGCCCACCGACTTGGGCGTCTGCAGCCCGCCCGCGCGCTCGGCCCTCCGCGCCTGCAGGGGGCCCCCCGCGCGCGCGCGCCCCGGCCGCCGGCCGCGCGGGGCGCCCTCCTGCGGGGTGGGCGTGGCCGCGGGGCGCGCAGGCGCGGTGGGCGCGGGGCGGGGCCTGCGCGGGGCGGCGCGGCGCGGGGCGGCGGCGGCGGCGGGTCGGGGTCGGGCCATGCGGGCGCGCCGGGGCGCGGGGTCGCGGCTGCCGCTGCTGCTGCTGCTGCTGCTGGCGGGCGGCGCGGGGCCGGCGCGCGGCTCCGAGGACATCGTGGTGGGCTGCGGGGGCTTCGTCAAGTCCGACGTGGAGATCAACTACTCGCTCATCGAGGTGAGCGCGCGGCCCGGGCCCCCGACCCTCTCTGGCGCCCCCTGCTCGCGGCGGGGCTGCGCGTGGGGTCCCCCCGCGCGGGTCTTCCTCGGGGCCCGCCCGCCTGCCGCGCCCCCCCCCACCGGAGTCCAGCCCCCCCCATCTCGGAAACCCCCCTCGGAGCAGGACCCAGCTGCCCCCTCTCTTCCATCCGTCCATTCATTCATTCATTCGTTTTGTTACTTTGTTGCGGGGAGGGCACGCCTGGCCTTGCGCGGGGCTCGTGGCTGCCGGCTGTGCACTCGGGGGTCCCCACCTGGCGGTGCTGGGGGAGCCCCCGGGGGTGCCTGGGGTCCTGCCCAGGCCCACCGTGTGCAGAGCAAGAGCCGGCCCCGCTCTGCTCTTGCTCCAGCCCCCACCCCCCTCCCCGCCGCTTCTTGAGACCTTCAGAACCGGACTCCAGATCTGCCAGGACCCCCGGGCCTGGGTCTTCAAGCCTTTTGCGCCCCTGGGTCTCTGGGGTCTGGGACCCGCCGTGGGTCGTCGGTGCCTGCCTGGCGTCCACATCCCAGGACCGGAGACGGAACATTCTGCACCCCAAGGCCCAGAGCACCCCAGACCTTCAAATGCCGCCCTCCCCACCCACCGTGCTTGTAACCGTCGGTTCCCCTTCTACAGACCCAAAGGCACTTGCTCTCGGGGGATCTCCTGGGGCCGGGGGTATCAGCCTCACTGCCCGCCCTCCCCGCTTCTCGAACCCCGAACGGGTGACTTGTCGGGTTCCCTGGTTGCCTGACTCCGTGGCTCCCTGGACATGGCGCTAGGTGTGTCCTAAGTCTTTTCCTTCGATTGTGACATGGCGTGCCAGGGATCGAACCCACGTCGGCCACAGACTTGGCGCGCGCCCGCCCTGCCGTGCCCTGGCCCCAGGAGCTGTCAGGACCCTGCTCTGCGCACGGAGCCCGGCTGGGTGGAGGCTTCAGAACCCCCATAGAAGGGTCCTTCTTCCAGGGAGATCCCGGAAGGACAGTGAGGGCAGTTCAGGGGTCCTGACTCAGCCGTGGGACGGGTGACCTCTGCTCGTCCCTGGGCCCCGGGGCTGCTGGCCCAGGTGGCGCTGTGTTTCCTAACGCCGGATGATGAAACCGCACCTCCCAGCCGGCATCTCGCCCACCCGGGTCCTGAGTGCAGACGGCCGGGGGCTCGCTCTCACGGTCCTGCCTCAATCGGGGTCTCTGTTCCCATTAAAACTGCCCTTCCTTGGGGCTGGAGTGATAGCACAGCGGGTAGGGCGTTTGTCTCGCACATAGCCGACCCGGGTTCGAGTCCCAGCATCCCATATGGTCCCCTGAGCACTGCCGGGAGTGGTTCCTGAGCGCGGAGCCAGGAGTAACCCCTGTGCATCGCCGGGTGTGACCCAAAAAGCAAAACAAAACAAAACAAAACAAAAAAACCTGTCCTCCCTGGGCCGTCTTCCGCTGGGCGTGCTCCGTAGAGGGTCACTTCAGCTGCTCCCAGCTGAGGGGTTCCCTGCCGGGACCCTGGTGGTTCTGCAGCCGGCAGAGGGACTGAACAGACGGAACCCGGCTGGGGTGGGAGCCCGGCCCTCCAGGCAGAGGCTGACGTCTCATAAAGGCCGAGACCGTAGGGTGGGGAGGGCTCAGGCCTTGAGCTGTGAGCTCCGGGGTCACTCCCGGCAGCCCCTGGGGACCTCATGCGGGGCAAGCGCCCTCCCCGCTGTCCCCTCTCTCCGGCCCCCGGAGGAGCGTCCCGTGTGTGACGTCCCTTGTCTCCGCTCTGGAGCCTGCAGCCCCGAGTTGGCTGCTGCTTTGGCTTGGAGCTCCCGTGACCCTCCGCACCCCCTTCCCCGGCAGGGCGGGGGAGGTGGGACGCGCACAGGCAGCCCCGCTCCCCCCTGCGATGGACGGAGGAGCCGAGGCTCAGGGGGCTGAGCCGTGCAGGGGGGCTGACGGCCGGTCCTCATGTCCTTCCCGTCTGCTGTGCTGGCGAGATCCGCCTGCATTTGCCCTGGGGCGTGTAGCAGGCATGCAAGACCTCATCGGATCTGAGAACCCGCACAGACCCCATGGTGCGGTTGTGTGTGTGTGTGTGTGTGTGTGTGTGTGTGTGTGAGAGAGAGAGAGAGAGAGACAGACAGAGACACCTGGCAGTGCCCTTACTGTGTGTGTGTGTGTGTGTGTGTGTGTGTGCGTGTGTGTGTTTGGGCCAAACCTGGAAGTGCTGAGGGCTTCCTCCTGGCTCTGCACTCAGGAATCACTCCTGGCAGGGCCATGTGGGATGCCGGGGATCGAACCCCGGCCAGCTGCATGCAGGGCAAATGCCCTACCTGCTGTACAGTCACTCAGGTCCCAAGGAGCCGGTGGTTCTCTGGAAGTTGAAGGGCGCGCCAGGGTCAGTCGCGGAGTGTACACGTGGGCCCCGACTTGAGCCCATCAGTAAAGCCAGTTGGCCTTGGGATGCAAGAGTTTTAAGGTGTCTGTGAGGTGGAGATATTCCTTTGGATGTTGTCTTCGACCCAAGAGCGGAAAGTTTCCTGAGTTTTTTCCGCCAAGTGGTGGGACTTACCTGGGTCGGGCCGGCCCCCTTCCCAGACCTTGTCGTCTGGAGACAGACTGGGCCCAGAACCTGCATTGTAACAAGCACGTTCCTTGACTTACCCAGAGGGCCCGCTTAGAGCCGGGGTCGGGGTCGGAAGCCCCTAAGCTGTGTCCCCCCAAATGGGCCCTCCGAGCCCGGCACAGACCATGTCACGTGACGCTGCAGCCGCTCTGCTTCCCCTCCCCACATCCCCAAGGCCGGTGCTTGTTTTCGGCGCTTTCTCACTGAAAGGAACCTACCGACATGTGTTCCGGGGCTGGGGGGGCGGGGGGGGGGGCCGTGCCCGGAGCAGGGGCAGCAGGAGGCCACCCACGATGCCTCTCGTTTCCTTCCTCTCCAGATAAAGCTGTACACCAAGCATGGGACTTTGAAATACCAGACGGACTGTGCCCCCAACAACGGCTACTTTATGATCCCCCTGTACGATAAGGTGAGGCCGGGCTGCTTTGCCTTGCCGGGGCCGAGGCCTCCCTCACGGGGGCCAGTGCTCGCGGGGGTCTGGGACTGGTGACCCGGAAGCGACCGTTTGGATTGGATCCAGCGGCTCTGAGAAGTCTCCATTTGGCAGTGCCTCGAGCCGTTATTATTTATTTTCCGGGGGATGGGTTGTTGGGCGTGATGGTAAGGTCGGGGTGCTGGAGGTAAGCGTGGTTGGCCGCAGAGCCCTGGCTCGCCCTTGCAAGCCGCCCCAGCCCCCCGCACCTCCCTAAAAAATATCACTGAAGAACCCACGCTGCGAGTGGTGGGCTCCCGAGCCCTGTGAGGGGAGGAAGCCAGAGAGTCAGCCTCCCGGCCTGGCCCCTCGGAGACAGCCCCTCCGGGCCTGGATACGTGGCCAAGGCTGCCTGCGTCCACCACCAGCTTTTCCTTTGGTCGTACGTGCTCGCTTCAGTCTTCATTTTTCCCCTATCTGGGGTGGCCGCACTCACACGGGGCCCTCCCCGGCCGTGCTGCGGGGACCCCAGGGCCAGGGCCGGGGCGTCCGGGGTGTGTTCTGTGTCCCCAGTCGCCTCCCCCGCCTGGACTTGTTTTCTTTGGATGGCGAGATGGGACCGGCCGCGTGGGTTTTCTCGGTTTTCCCGGAGAGTTGGGTCGGGGCAGACCCTCAGTGCCCGCGTGGGGCGGTCAGCAGCCTCCCTGGCGCCACCCAGCAGGACCCCGTCCGGCCCGGACGCGAAGGTGCCTCGTCAGCATCCCCGCGGGTCGGACTCTCCCTGCTCTTCCCGCCGGGGTCGCTGGTGGCAGCACGTGGTCCCCGGCTGCCTCTCGGCGCGGGTGTGCGAGCTGCTCCTGGGCTCTGTCGCTTCAATCCGCCCCCGGAGGCCCTGGATCTCTGAGTAGGTCCAAGGGATCGCTTTGTTTCTGAAGCGACGCTGGGAAGAGCCAGGACTGGGGTCCCCCCGGGTGGCTGGGGGCCTCTCTGAGCAAGGCGCCCCTCGGAGCTCTGTCTCCTCTGGGAAGCGAGACAGTCCTCCAGAGCCTTCCTCCTCCTCCTCCTCCTCCTCCTCCTCACCCTGCGACCTTTTTCTCCCTGTAGGGAGATTTCATTCTGAAGATTGAGCCGCCCCTGGGCTGGAGTTTTGGTGAGTCCGCGGATCCCCGGATGCGACAGTACCGAGACCGCAGTGTTTGGGTCGGACCCTGTGGTGCTGGGGGCCACGTGTGCCGGGGGCGGGCTTGGGGCCTCCTGCGTGCAGAGCCTGGGCTCAGCCCTCCGTGCACTGCCCACCTGTGGCCAGTGGGAGGTTCCGGGCCCGTTTCTTCTGGTGGGCGGGATTCCTGCGACCCCCTGCTGGAACATGGGCACGCTGGAGCTCCCGGGGCCGACTGGACTCCTGTCGGCCGTCTGTCCTCACTCCGAGGGGCTGGGACTTAGAAGAAGGGCGGGGAGAGGTCAGCGGGCAGGAGAGGGGCCTGTCCTTCCCCTCCCTTCCCAGCCCGCCCCCCTCCCCCCACATCCCTGCTTTGTTTTGTTTTTGGTTTTTTTTGGGTCACACCCGGTGATGCTCAGGGCTTCCTCCTGGCTCTGCACTCGGGAATGACTCCTGGCAGTGCTCGGGGGACCCTTTGGATGCCGGGGATCGAACCCAGGTCGGCTGTGTGCAAAGCAAACGCCCTCCCCCTGTGCCGTCGCTCCAGCCCCCGCTTTGTTTCCTGTGGGTTAATCACACCCTCCACACGCTGTCGGATTCCACATCCTGGTCCCAGAGCTGCTTCTCTGCAGAGACCCCCGAATCCCCTCACTTCCCCGGCCCTGGGCTGGCCCTGGCCTCACTGGGCCAAGCGTCACTGGCCTCGAGAACCCGGGAGCGCTGGCCGCCCGACCACGTGGCCGCAGTGGTCGGGAGGGGCCCGAGCGTGGCTCGTGGTGCAGGAGCCGTCCCCGCCGCTCCCTGGACCCTGGTTCCTCGGCGGGGGCCCGGCCCCCCACCCCCACCCCCCACCTCTTTGGGCCGTTCGGTTTTGAATCGAGTTCTTGACGTGCTTTATTTAAAATTCCACCAAGGTCCAGGGCCGGAGCGATGGTCCAGCAGGGCAGGCATGCAGCTTGCTCGTCGCCCTAGGGCCCCCCGACCACAGAGCCAGGGGTCCGCCCTGATCGCCGCCCGGGGTGGCCCAGGAAACAAACCCGATATCCAGAGGGGCCAGGAAGTGGCTGAAAGGGCCGGAGCAGGTGCCTCCCACGCAGGGACACCAGGGCTGGTCCTCGGCCCCAGCACCACCTGGGGGACCCCCCCCCCCCCCGGTTCTTGAGACTCCCCTGGACAGAGTCCCGTGTCGGGACACTGGGCTCAGCACGGTCTCTCCCCATGCCCATCCCCCGCGCCAGAGCCCACCAGCGTGGAGCTGTACGTGGACGGCGTCAGCGACATCTGCACCAAGGGTGGTGACATCAACTTCGTGTTCACCGGCTTCTCCGTGAACGGAAAGGTGGGGGCTCGCGCACTCTGCCCACCTCCTGCTTCTGAGGGGGCCGGGCGTGTTCAGTGGTTCTGGGGTCCACCTGCCGTTTGGGGGTGGTACTCGGGGGTCGGGGGTGACCCGGCTCTCGGTGCTCGAGGGATCGTGCGGCTCTCTGGGGCTTCAGCCTGCAGGGAAGGCGCCCCGGCCCTCGGAGCTGCCTCCCCGGCTTCTCTGGGCAGAAGCGGGGTCCACCCGCGACCTTCTGGAGGCCTCGGGGTGCGGATGCAGCATGGTGGGCCGGGCAGGGTGGCTGGCGTGTGCCCCGCCTGGCCTGCTGCAGGGACAGTGTCGGCTGGGACCTTTTCCCTGGCCCCTCGCGGAGACACATTTCATTTCCTGCGTCCTTGTCTCGGGGTGGGTTTACTTCTCCAGCCTGACATCGGGAGCGGGGCCCTGGCTGCAGGCATTGGACCTGGGTCCTTCATTCGTGGGGGGGAGCAGACACTGGCCAGGTCACTCATCGGCATCCTTGAGGCCAGGCCAGGCCGTTTCCTGCGCCCCCTCCTTAGGGGGCCTCCGGGCCTTTGCTCCTATTTTTGAGTGGAGTCTGAGCCCCCAGTGGGCTCTGGGTTCCGGGGCGGGATGTAGGGGGCCTGGGGGGGCGGTTGCGGGAACCGACCTCCCTCTCAACGCAGGTCCTGAGCAGAGGGCAGCCCCTGGGGCCTGCCGGCGTGCAGGTGTCTCTGAGGAGCACGGGCACGGAGGCGAAGGTCCAGTCCACCGTCACGCAGCCTGGCGGGAAGTGAGTCTCGCGGTGGGCCCGGGGTGGGCGGGGCAGCAGGGTGGGAGTCACTCTGAGGCTCAGTCCTGCTGCAGGCCTGGAGATGGGGTGGGGGTGGGGTCACTCCAGTTCTCCGCCTGGCGGGGGCCGTCCTGTGTTGGATGCCCGACGTTGCATGTACTCTGGCACCACTGGGAGCATTTGCCTGTTAAAACAAAACCCACAGAAGACCTCAAGGGAGCCCCTTAACTTTGCGTTTGTTCGTGTGTGTCTGCCCATCCCACCCCCCGGGGCCTCGAGCTCCTCATCTGTGAAATGGGCATCGTCAACTCCCCCCCGCACGCCACCCTGGTCCTGTCAGCCTTGTGGGCCTGCCCGGGGTGCCTCTGGGGCCTGCCAGCCTGGGCGAGGGGAGGGGGGCAGGAGAGTTGGACTGCTCTGGGCCACGGGGTTTCCTCATTGGTGAGGAAGCTGGTCACAGGCCCGTCCTCCTCGATGACCAGGAGGGTGAAGGGGACGCCTCCCCCGTGTCGGCCAGCTCAGCCAGCCGGGTGCAGTTAGGGTTTGTTTATTTATTTATTTATTTATCCATTCATTTACTTATCAAATTCGTGGCGTGGGCTCAGCCTGGGTAATTGAATTAACTCGGGTGAGTTGAAATGAAGGCTTTTGTTGAACGGATTTTGTCCCCGGCCTCAGGTGGACGGAGATTGGGACCCGAATTGTTTCTGGTCATCGTTTTGAAAGCTTTCGAGTCACCACAAATCGGGGGCTGAGCCGCAAAACTGGGACCAGCGTCTGGGCCCCATCGGGTGACTCGCTCTTCATGGTCACTTTTTTTGTGTTTTGTTTGTTTTCGCCACAGCCGGTGAGGCTCAGGGCTTTCTTCTGGCTCTGCTCAGGGATCACTCCTGGTGGTGGGGAGTCGAGCCCAGGTCTGTGCAGGCAGGCACCCTCCCTGCGGTGCTGTTGCTCCAGCCCCTCGGTCGTCACCTTGGGGCTGCCGTTCCCTGCCGCCTGCTCGCTCCCTCCCCCCTCGGACTGGAGCAGGAAGGACGTTCTCTCGGCCGGGCCAGTAGCTTGCGCAGGTAGCAGGTGCCCGAGTCTCGCTTGCCTGCTCAGACAAGAACAGTGAGAGTCACGGGCAGAGTTGGCCGCCTTTGGACGCCGGGCGGATGCCAGGTCCAAGAGTCATTTTCTCTTTGCGGGACTGGAGGCGTTCCCACGCCCTGTCCCGCCACAAGCAAGGCTCCATGTGGTCGGGCAACAGTTTTTCCCCAACATGCCCAGACGCATTGCGCACCGGGTCGGGGCAGACGTGGGGCGAAGGCTGACGGGCGCGCGGAGAAGCCACTCTGGGAGCAGCTGACGGCCTCTCACTTAATCGCCAAACACACCCATGTCTTGTAGAGGGTCTCGCTTAAGAGCTCGGTCCAGTCACGGAAAGTCCAGCATGACTGACCTGCCACCTTTCCAGCTCTGCTTTGCCTCGGCCCAATCCCATTCAGGGCTCGATGCTGCAGTTGGGTGACAGTTCTTGGCGGCTGGATGAGACTCGTGGCCGGATACCTGGTGCTTGTGAAATGGGCGCAGACGCTCCCTCCTGGGTCCCTGTGCAGGGACAGGTCTCATCTGCTGTGCGGGGACGGACCTTACCCGCTCGGGGGCCCGTCGCCGTGCTCCACACCGTGTCACGAAGTGGCTCCAGATGGTGGCGGGGTCGGCTCCCGCGGGTCATCCCCCCCAGCCGCGCCCTCTCCCCGTCCGGCGCTCTAGCCGAGTGCCACAAGGCCAGGCGCGTCCGAGCTCTGCGCCCGGCCCTCTCCGCCCGCCCCTCAGCGCCTGCTCAGCTCCGCTCTGCACACGCCCTGGACGCTCCCACCCCCAGCACTCCGAGGTCCCTCCCCGCCTGCGTCAGTGGGGCTCTGCGATCGGCCCCAGGCTCTTCTGCTCGCACCCTCGCCCCCGCCCACTCCCGCCTTTCTTGCCCCTGCCTGCTCACGCCTTCCGCATCTCTGTGGGGACTCCCGGGCACGTCCTCTGCCTCGTTCCTGCTGGGCTGTAGCCGTCCGTGGCGAGGGAAGGGGCTGCACCAGGGAGCACCTGTCCCTGTGTGCAGGCAATGCTCCCCGAGCACCTGCCGTCGAGCCGGGCTGGTGTGTTGGTTCCTGCACGTGGGACTGGCTGACGGCCAGACTGCGACCACCCAGATGCCCTTCTCCTGAAAGCCTGGTGTCCGCCCGCCCAGCGCACGTGCTGGCGTTGGTGGGAGAGTTGACGGGTTTGGTGTTTCGTAGGTTTTCCTTTTTCAAAGTTCTTCCCGGAGACTATGAAATCCTGGCGACTCATCCCACCTGGCCGTTGAAAGAGGTGAGCACTGGAGAGGGGGCCTCACAAACGGGAGGAGTTTCAGTTAAGGATACGGAGAAAGAGAGAGTGAGTGAGTGTGTGTGTGTGTGTGTGTGTGTGTGTGTATGTGAGTGTGTGTGTATGCGTATGTGACTGTGTGTGTCTGTGTCCATGCGTGTGTGTTCTGCACTGCTTTCTCTGTGCTGCTTGAGGCTGTGGGTTTTCAGGGCTTTTCAGATTTCATGTACGCCTCACGTGCGGTGCATTTCGGATGCCCGTGACCCGAACGCATAAAGGAAATCGAGTTTGTTCATATAAATTGGTGTCTCAGAGCGATGATTAACCCTCGGTGGAGTGGATGGGTGGTGAGTGACTGTGGGTGAGAATCAGGGGCCTCTGTTTCCTTCTCTGGCGGGGTGCTGGCTGCGTGCTGTGTGTTCCGTGGCTGGGACTCCCCGAGAGAATGTGTCCTGTGCGCTATGTAAATCAGCTTGGAACCAGGAGGTTTAAAAATACCTGCAAAACCGAGAGAGATGCAAACCAGGTTCACTTGGGAGATTAGAGCCGCAGAAGGGCCCAGAGCGGAAATGGAGAGTCCCCGTCTGCTCTGGAGGCAGCGTGGAGCTGACGCCGACGCTGCCCTTCAGAGATACTGACCCGTGCCACTTCCCCATTCCGTTGTGCTCTGTTGCAGGCCAGCACCACCGTGCGCGTGACCAACTCCAACGCCAATGCAGCCGGCCCCCTCATCGTGGCCGGCTACAATGTGTCCGGCTCTGTGCGCAGTGATGGGGAGCCCATGAAAGGGGTGAAGTTCCTTCTCTTCTCCTCTCTGGTGGCCCAGGAGGTGAGTGCTGGGAACGGGGCGGCGGAGGGTGTTGGGTGGGCCAGGGGCTGGCAGGGCGGGGTGTGGCAGGTCCCTCCAATGCAGGTCTCGGTGGGCTCATTAAGTCACCTGGTTTGCTGCTGGAAGGTGGTGGGACTCTGGGGCGTCTGCAGGCCAAGGTGTCCTTCTGACCCAGGGCGAGACGCAGCCACGGCGTGATCTGACGCCTGTTGCCTGCCTGCCAAGCAGGGTCCTCTGGGTTCTGGGCTTGGAGGGCGGGGCGCTCCCCAGGGGTGCCGGGCCCACCAGGACCTCTGCTCGAGGTGAAGTGGTGGGGGCGGGGGCTGTGGGCAGCCACCCCCCGCCCTGTGCGTGCCAGGCGTGCACCCCGCCATGCGACTGCCTCACGTCCAAAAGACAAAGTGTCAAAAAGCCTTTGAAAGAGGCGACTCGCATTAAATTTTCAGACAAAAGGTCCTCACTTGTTTGATCAACAAATATCTGTCCACTCACAGCATTTCTGACGACCTTTGTGCGCAAAGACGCCTGCTGGGGGGTGGCGGGGGGTCGTTCCCCAGAGGATGATTGCCAATTTTTTTTTCCTTTTTAATCTCTCATCCCCATTTCTTTTTCCTTCTTTTCTTTTTGGGTCACACCTGGCGATGCGCGGGGGTTACTCCTGGCGGTGCTGGGGAGGGGACCCTGTGGGATGCCGGGGATCGAACCCGGGTCGGCCACGTGCAAGGCCAACGCCCTCCCCGCTGTGCTGCCGCTCCAGCCCCTTATCCCCATTTCCGAGACCAGCCGTGGGGAGGTTAAGAACTCGGTCTGGGGACACACGCCTGGCCTCGTTCTAGTGAGCCTTTAGTCTGTCCTGAGTCTTGGCAGAATCAGAGCAGCCAGAATATCTGTAGCAGTTGCCAGATTTTAACTCGAAGGTGAAGCACTTTTATTCTTACTTTTTTTCTGTTTTCCCATATGTCTGTTTGGTTTTCGGGCCACCCCCCGCAGTGCTCAGGACTGACTCCTGGCTCTGTGCTCAGCGACCGCCCCAGCGGGGCTGGAGGGACCCTGTGTGGAGCTGGGGCTGGAACCCGGGCGCCTGCCCCCCCTCCCTGTCCTGCAGTCCCTCTGTCGCTCTGGTCCTGCAGCCCCTCTGTCGCTCTGGTCTCTTACACATTCTGGATTTCCTGAGGAGACATGCGCGACCTCAGCCCGGGGACAGCTGCCCTCTGGCATGGCCCTGAGCGGGCCGTCGGGGCAGGGCACAGGAAAGGGAAGAACTCCTCTTTCGCTCCCGTCCCGGCCTAGGACGTCCAGGGCTGCAGCACCTCCCCCGTGCCCGGCTTCCAGCCCCATGACACGAGCCTGGTGTTCCTGTGCTACGCAGTTTCCAAGGAGGACGGCTCCTTCTCCTTCTACTCCCTGCCCAGTGGTGGCTACACTGTGGTGAGTGGGGCCGAGGTCCCCGATCCCCTTCAAACCTGGGACTCGGGCTCGGGCAGGGCCGCGGCTGCCCCGTGTCCACGGAGGGAGAAACGGGGCCCGTGGTCCGGGAGCTGGCCCCGTGGTCACCCCACGCACGGCCCGGGGCCAGCCTCTCCCGGCTGCCCGGGGCGCCTGGCCACCTGCGGGCTGCTCCACGGGTGCTGACGGGCCCTCCCTCCCAGGTCCCCTTCTACAGGGGCGAGAGGATCACCTTCGACGTGGCCCCCGCCCGCCTGGACTTCACGGTGGAACACGACAGCCTGAGGATTGAGGTGAGCCCGCCCCCTTGGCTCGCCCTCCAGCGGGTCACGTGTTGCTCCCTTCTCTGGGCGGCCCACCTGGGACCCCTGCCCTGCGTCCCCGTCTGGCTTAGCCTGGGGGCCCCCTGGATGCTTCAGCTCTCGCCCCACCTTTTTTTTGGGGGGGTCATACCCAGCGATGCACTGAGGTTCTTCCTGGCTCTGCACTCAGGAGTTACTCCTGGCGGTGCTCGGGGGACCCTATGGGATGCTGGGAATCGAACCCGGGTTGGCCGCGTGCAAGGCAGACACCCTACCTGCTGTGCTGTCGCTCCAGCCCCTTGCCTCACTTTCTGATTCAAAGTCGATTCTGTGTTTTATTTTGCGCCCCCCCAGCAGTGCTCAGGGGAGCCAGGGTGTGCCTCCGGTAGTGACTCACGCAGGCTGAAGGGTCAGTGCGTGTCTGCGCCCTGTGTGCTGGGGTCGCTGTGGCCACGCCCGACGTGCCCAGGGCCCGGTGCGGTGCCGGGCTTGTGCCTCATCCCTCGGAGCCGCCTCGGTGCCCTTCCCATGTCTGCGTCCTCGAGAGTCGCTGCCCCGACCCCATGCCTGCGTCCCCGCTCAGTCTCGGGTCTGGGCGTTTCCTGCCCTCGGGGGGCTCGCGCTGCCATGCTAAGCAAGGGTCCTTGCGAGGGACTCCGGGAGCTTGTGAAAGCGACATCTGGAGATGGGACGCAGGTGACTGTGGGGTGGGGATGCCAGAAGACTCACCAGGGCAGCGGCTGTGAACTGCCCGTAGTGGAGAGGAGAGCGTCTCGCCTCCGGAGGTGGCAGGTGCCAAGGGCCCGGGGCCAACGGGCGCCACCGTGTCAGGCCAACCCTGGTGACAGAAATGGAGGAAGTAGAGTTGGGTGATGGACAGGGGGCGGCCAGGCGAGTCTCTGGGCAAAGGCCGGGCCCCTCTGTCTGTCTGCTTGAGAAGAGTTTGTGGGGCGTGAGGGGCGGGGGTGCGGGCCGCGGCATTGGTGCAGCTGGGGTCTGGCTGTGCAGCGCATTCGCTGTGGCAGTGGGTGCAAATGGGGTCACAGGTGGCCCCAAAGACCCCAGACTCGAAGGTAGACAGGAAGAATGTGTGTGTGTGTGTGTGTGTGTGTGTGTGTGTGTGTGTGTGTGATCACATTTACACCTTTAATTACAGATGTCGGCAGTGGTTGCCACAGAAAACTTGCTAGATAGAGCAAATCCCCAAAGAAAATGATTCTTTCATAAACGGGCCTCCCAGGGTTACAGCTATTAAAAAAATTAGATTTTAATTGTTCCCTTTAATGTTACGCTGGGAAGCGCCGTGTGTACGAATAGAAGCGGGATTCCGGGCCCGTGCTCGGCGGGGTGCCGGGACTGTTTGCAGATCCAGCGAAGCGTTTGACTGGTGTGCTGGATGCTGGGGCGTGTGTGTGTGTGTGTGTGTGTGTGTGTGTGTGTGTGTGTGCTTGGTTCTAGCTGTTTGCAGTCATTCCCGTGCCACAGTCTCCCCGCAGGTATCTTAGCAGATGGGTGAGTGGAATTCCCAGCACGGCCTCCTGCAAGTGCCACGCTGTCAGGATTTCGTGGCCTGTCCGTGCCAAGTAAAATCCTCCTGTCGGGATCAGGAAGTGGATAGCCCGGGGCCGGGAGCTCCCTGCGTCCCTGTGCCCGAGCTGCTTGGCTGTCCCTGTGCCAGGCCCTCAGTCCAGTCCCCCCTCCCGGGCCCTGCGCGCACTGCCGGGCGTGGCACTGGTGACCCTCAGCCCCTTCCCCAGTGCCGAGCCGTCAGGCCTGCCCAGCTGGACGCTGCATTGCTGGGAGGGGTCCCTGTGCCCCAGGCACCGCTGAGGAGGCCCCCACCCTCACCACCCCCAGAGTGCAGAAAAATGTGGACGCGTTGTTTTTAGGTTTGACTCATTTAAATAAGTCATATCTTTGGGGTGTTTGTTTGGGGGCCTCACCCGGTGGTCCTCAGGGCTTACTCCTGCCTCTGCACTCAGGGGTCACTCCTGGCAGGGCTCGGGAGTCGAACCCCGGTCGGCCTTGAGCAGGGCCAGCCCCGCCTGCACTCTGCCATGGCGCTGGCCTCAGGCGCCTCTCAGGAGGGGACGAAGCTGCTTGTTCTCTCCGTTCTTTGAGGCTGTTGCTGCCACAGTTTCAGAGCCGAGTCACGGCGGTGCCGTCCCGGGGCCAGGCGGCTCCGAAAAGCTCCGTACCCTGGTGTCCCTTCCACTCCAGGGGGAAGGCAGCAGGCGGGGGGCTGCCAGCAGGGACCCCTGAGCTACTGGGGTCTCTGCATGGAGCAGGTGGGACAGCTAGCGTGAGGGACGGTGACCGGCCAGGGACAGGGGCCAGAGCTCCCGACATAGCACGGGCAGGGAAGCTTCTGGAAGGTGGCAGCAGAATGCAGGGGCAGGAATGGCCTTCCGGATGTTCCCCGGATGTGTCAGCATGGGGGTGGTGTGGACGCCCCACGGGGACCTGGACGTGGCCCACACGGGGGCTGGGGCCCCAGACCCTGCCCAGTAGGGCTGCTGGGCAGCCCAGGGCCAGGGCACGGAGCATGAGGCCCGGGGAGGAGAGGGCAGCCTCGGGCAGTGGGCGGAGGGGAGGCAGGGAGACCTAGCGGAGGAGGCCCGCGCTGTGCTGTGGGGGAGGCTGCCGGGGCGACAGAGGGTGCGTGGCCCTTCTCCGGAACGGGGGTCTGGGCACAGCCTCGCCTGCCACTGGCCTGGGTTGGACCCGCAGCATCATGTGACCGTGGGGCCAGGCGCAGCCTTTCAACACCACCGCACGGGGGCTGTTCCCCCCAGGTGGAAGTGGGGGGTCTGTGGGGAGGGGCAGGGGTGGGCAGCGCTTTGCCAGGCCCCACTGGGGGATCTGGGCCCGGGGAGTACGTCCAAGGCGCTTCCACGGCTGTTCAGACACGGGAAGGATGGACTGCGGAGGGGGCTGGGAGCGGTCAGTGCCGCCGCTGGGGGCCGGGGCGTCCCCGTGAGCCGTGCTGAGCCCACCGGTGCCCCTTCCCGCCCCCTGTCTTCCAGCCCGTGTTCCACGTCATGGGCTTCTCGGTCACCGGGAGGGTCCTGAACGGCCCCGCGGGAGAAGGTGTGCCCGAGGCGGAGGTCACCCTCAATGACCAGATCAAAGGTGGGCGAGCGCGGCCGGGGCTTCTGGCCAGCGGGGGGGGCGGGGGTGGGCAGCACCCGCCTGGCCCAGCGGTGCCACTTCCGCCCTCTCCCCCACGGGCGGGCCTTGGCTTTCTCAGTCAGGACGAAGGCCGACGGCTCCTTCCGGCTGGAGAACATCACCACGGGCACCTACACCATCCGCGCGCAGAAAGAGCGGCTCTTCTTCGACACCGTCACCATCAAGATCGCGCCCAACACGCCCCAGCTGGCCGACATCATTGCCACAGGGTGAGTCCCCGGCGAGAACAGGGGGCCCGTGGCGCGGCCCAGGAGTCCCCGCCCACACAGGCGCCTGCCGAGAAATCCCGTGGCTGCTTCCTTGTGTTTGGGCCACCCTCGGCAGTGCTCGGGGCTGACTCCTGGCTTGGTGCTCAGGGGACCCTATGGGGCGCCTGGGTTGCACCCAGGTCAGCTGCGTGGAAGGCCAGCGCCCTCCCCACCGTGCCCCTGGCTTAGTGCCGAGTCTCGGGCATGGAAGGTTCTGTCTGTCGGGCGCTGACGATACAAGCTTGCTTCTGAGGTCCCCCTGGTCTGCTGGGCCGGGCACGCCAGGCCCTGGATGAGGTCCCAGGTAGCGTGTGGACCTCCTGGGCACCCCGGGTGTGACCCTGCCCCCCTCCCCCGCCCCGTCTCCTTGAGCTCTGAGCCGTCAAGCCCATGCGGCTGGCCCTGAGTGCTCTGTCCCTAGGAGTGGACTCCAGGCCCCTGAGTCCTGTTGGAGGGGCCGAGAAGCCAAGAGGATGGGTCTCTTGGGGTTGGAAAGGATCTTTCGCACCCGATGCTTGTTGTGGGGCCTGCGTGGCCTAATTCTTAATGAATTGGAGGCCTGTTGGTGCCGGGGGGGTGGGGGGGCGAGGCGGGAGGGTCTGTGGACCCCAAGGTGGGGTCCTCCACTAGCTGGGAGGAGTGTCCGGGTTTGAAGGGTGGCACATTGGGGGTGCTCCTGGGCGGTGTGTGGGGGAGTGGCCGGGCCTCGTTCCCGCGAGCTCTCCAAGCTGCTCCTGCTGGGCCGAGTCGTCCTGGGCGCAGGCCTGGCTGTGAGGAAGCCTCCCAGGGGTCGCTCGCTCCCGAGGGTCCAGATTCCGCCGTCTGTGCGAGTCTGCCCTGTTCCGTCAGATCGGCGGCCCTGCTGTGTTCTTTCTTTCTTTCTCTTTGGGTTCTTCCTGGCTCTGCGCTCAGGAATTACCCTGGCGGTGCTCGGGGGACCCTCTGGGGTGCCGGGAATCGAACCCGGGCCGGCTGCCTGCAAGGCAAACGCCCTCCCCGCTGTGCTCTCCGTTGCTCCAGCCCCAGCCCTGCCTAGTTCTGAGACTGAGCCCGCCCAGCTTCGAGATCTGGCCGCCCTCGCCACCGGGGCTGGCCGCAGCCCCCCTCCCGCCATCCCATCGTTTGTGGCCGTTTTTATCATCTGCAGATTTTTCTGAAAGTGGCTTCCCCCGGGTGGGGGTTGCCAGAGTTTGCCCAGATGCGCACGGGGCCCTTGGCCCTGCGCGGGGGAGGGGGAGGCAGGGTTGGGGGCAGCTTTCTGCTCCCTCCTGAAGCTGGAACTCGTCTCCCCGCTCCCCACGGTGACCATCTCCCTCCCCCTCCCACGCCACGCCCCGCAGGTTCAGCGTCTGTGGCCGCATCGTCATCACGCGCCTCCCTGACGCCGTGGCTCAGATGAGCAGGTACAAAGTCGCCCTGTTGTCTCAAGACAAGGACAAGCCGTTGGCCACCGTGGACACGGACGCCCAGGGCGCCTTCTGCTTCCGAGCCAAGCCAGGGGCCTACAGGGTGCAGGTAGGGCCCGTTTCCGTCCTGCCGCGCGTCGAGGGTCTTAAGAAGCGCGAGCTCGCGCGTGTCTTTCGGGGGGCTGCCGTGAGCTCTGGGGGCGGCATGGGCAGTGCAGGGTGTCCCTGGTCTCAACGGTTCCTGTGTCTGGGCCGTGGCGGGCCCTGGGGTGCGGAATCCCTGCCCGTGAGCACTCGGTGTCCCCATGTACCTGGACGGCGGGGGTGGGGGGCTCCCCTCACACTCAGAAGGGGGTCATGCCTGACGAGCCCCCCCTCCCGACGGGAACCCCTGGCCAGCATGTGTGGGCGCCCAGCTAGAGTGCCTCTCCCTTCTCCAGTCCTGCCCCTCACTGGCCAGGGCTTCGCCCCAGCTGGCAGCCACGCTCCACCTCTGCAGCCTCTTGGGCTCCTGGGGCGGGAGAGGGGTCTCTTCGACCGTGACTCTGGCTGCTGCCGGGCCCCCTTCCCGTGTCCTGCCTCTGCGTGAGGACAGTGTGGCAGCCCGGGTGGGCGCCCGGGAGGACTCGTAGGCCGGTGGGCAGCGACTGGGCCGGATCTGGATGTCGGCCTGCTGCCCCATGGGCAGGGAGAGGCCCTGTCTGTGGGTCCCGGGCGGGGAGAGGGGGCCAGACTCTGGCATGTGGCCGACCATCCCCGCGACCAGCCTCTGGAAGCTTCTGGAAGCACGTTGAGGCATTTTCCCAGGTAGCATGGTTCCCAGGCGCCGTCTGGACCTGGGATGGCGTCGGTGGGCACTGCAGCACGTCCTGGAGGGAGGCAGCGGCCAAGGGCATGCCCAGGGTTACGGGTGGCAAGGTGGGGGTGGTCTCTGTTCCGCCCTGCCCCACGCTGCCTTCCTGGGGCATCAGAATGGCCTCTCCCCTGCCAGACCGCTGGCCAGTTTGTTGTGACGTAAAAACTGGAATGAGCCTTTGTCCTTCGCAACCTGTGTGACTCTGTGGTCCAGCCAGCCAGGTGCCACCGTGATGGCTCTGGCCTGGTCAGCCACCTCCCCGATGCCCGCTGACGTGGTAGCTGCCCACTGACGCCCCCCGGCGTGGCCAGCCTCCTCCCTGAAGCTCGCTGACGTGGCCCGTGCCCCGCAGGTGGTGGTTCCTGAGGCTGAGTCCAGAGCAGGGCTGACCTTGAAGCCCCAGACAGTCCCTCTCACAGTGACCGACAGGCCCGTGATGGACGTGGCTTTTGTGCAGTTCTTGGCGTCCATTTCTGGGAAAGTCTCCTGTTTGGGTAAGATGTCACTTGGGAGCCAGAACAGATGGTTTCTGTGTGTGTGTGTGTGTGTGTGTGTGTGTGTGTGTGTGTGTGTGTGTGTTGGGGAGGTGGAAGGAGACGACTTGTGGGGGGTGGTGTGTGTGCTTGTGGTTTCTCTGTGTGTGTATGTGTGTGTTAGGAGACGGTTTCTGAGTGGTATTCTGGTGTGTGCTTGTGTGTGTGTGTAAGGAGATGGTTTCTAGGTGGTATTGTGGGGGGTGTGTGTGTGTGTGTTTTATGGAAAGGCCTCGGGGGGCTTCCCTGCATGCATGGGGCTGTCTCGAGTGTAGCACCTCTTTTTGTCTCTCTCGGGCTCTGGTGGGCTGAGGCCTGGGCTCCTGCCCACCAGCTGCCCAGTGGCAGGGAGGAGGCTGTGAGAATGGCTTGTGTGGCCTCGACTTGTCTCCCATGCAGGGGACTGTCCGCCCGCTGGGTGTTTGAGGCTGACATAGGGCCTCATCAGGAGGTGCTGGGCACGTGAGGAGTGGCGGCTGGACAGGGCCGTGCCCTGACCTCTCTGCCCTGGCCCCTCCCTCCTCTGACTTCGGGAGAACCCCAGCACCCTGGTCTCCATGTGGCCTTTCATGTGCCTGGGAGGCAGTGGACACAGGGCAGGCTTTGCTCTCCGTGCAGGACTGGACGCGGGCAGGCAGGGAGACTGCTGGTCCTGAGTAGTCCCATCCCTGTTCACCTGCACCCTGGGGTGAGGGGCGGGGGGAGGATGGACGTAGCAGAGGGGACAGACGCTGAGTCATGTCATAGCTCTGCCTCTGAGCAGCTCGTGGACGCCAGCCCCGTGGGGTCTCGGGGGCTCAGGCAGGCCCTGTGGGGTCTCGGGGCTCAGATGGACCTTGTGGGTCTTGGGGCTCAGATGGACCCTGTGGGTCTTGGGGGGCTCAAACGGGCCCTGTGGGGTCTCGGGACTCAGACGGGTCTTGTGGGTCTTGGGGGGCTCAGATGGACCCTGTGGGTCTTGGGGGGCTCAGGCAGGCTCTGTGGGTCACGGGGGCTCAGACAGACCTTGTGGGTGTTGGGGGGCTCAGATGGACCCTGTGGGTCTTGGGGGGCTCAGGCAGGCCCTGTGGGTCACGGGGGCTCAGATAGGCCTTGTGGGTGTTGGGGGGCTCAGATGAACCCTGTGGGTCTTGGGGGGCTCAGGCAGGCCCTGTGGGGTCTCGGGGCTCAGACGGGCCTTATGGGTCTTGGGGGGCTCAGATGGACCCTGTGGGGTCTTGGGGGCTCAGACGGGCATTGTGGGTCTTGGGGGACTCAGACGGGCCCTGTGGGGTCTTGGGGACTCAGACGGGCCTTGTGGGCCTTGTGGCTCAGATGGACCCTGTGGGTCTTGGGGGGCTCAGGCAGGCCTTGTGGGTCTTGGGAGGCTCAGACGGGCCCTGTGGGGTCTTGGGGACTCAGACGGGCCTTGTGGGCCTTGGGGCTCAGATGGACCCTGTGGGTCTTGGGGGGCTCAGGCAGGCCCTGTGGGTCACGGAGGGCTCAGACAGGCCTTGTGGGTCTTAGGGGGCTCAGACGAGCCTTGTGGGTCTTGGGTGGCTCAGATGGACCCTGTGGGTCTTGGGGGGCTCAGACGGGTCTTGTGGGTCTTGGGGGGCTCAGATGGACCCTGTGGGTCTTGGGGGGCTCAGGCAGGCCTTGTGGGTCTTGGGGGGCTCAGACAGGCCTTGTGGGTCTTGGCGGGCTCAGACGGGCCCAGTGGGTCACGGGGGGCTCAGCAGGTCACCCTCCGTCCTCTCCATGCAGACTCCTGCGGTGACCTGCTGGTGACCCTGCAGGCCCTGAGCCGCCAGGGCGAGAAGCGCAACCTCCGGCTGTCGGGCAAGGCCAACGCGCTGACCTTCACCTTTGACAGCGTGCTCCCCGGGAAGTACAAGGGTGAGTCCCCCAGGCTGCCCCGGCCTGCCCGTCTCTCTCGGCTCTTCCGGTGCCCCTGAGTCGCGTGTCTGGTGCTGCTGCTGCTGCAGGGGCGGCTGCTCCGGCCACGCCCTGCGTCCTGCCCGGGAGCGCGCGCCGGGTCCCTGCTGTGGCGTCCCGGGTGTGGGTGCTGCCCCTCACGGCTGTGGGCCTGTGGCAGGTGACTTAGCTGGGAAACTCGGCCTCTTTCCACCTGTGGAGAAGGTCGGCCGACACGGGCGAGGGCCTTGGCAGCCCTGGGGGCCCACGCAGCCGTGGGTACCGGCGGACACGGGCGACCCTGCCCTCAGCCTCCCAGCCGTGCCCCCCAGCTCTGGAGTTTTTTCAATCTTCATTTGGTTTTGTTTTGAGGCCACTCCCAGCTGCTCAGGGATCACCCCTGGCAGGCTCAGGCGACCCTGGAGGGTGGCGGGGATCGAACCGGGCAGGCGCCTGCCGGGCTGTGCCGTGGCTCCGCCCCCCGCCCCTGCCTCTGTGGTAGCTGGGAGCAGCCGACAGGGAACTGCCAGTGAAGTGGACGCTTCCCGGGTTTCCCCTGGGCAGTTCTCTTTCCTGTCATGCCGGAGAACGAGGGTGGGTTTTCATGTGTGCCGTGTGGAGCTCACACTCGCTGCCTGGACAGGGGGAGGACCGGGAGGCTGCTGGGCCCGTGAGCTCTGCGGCCGTTACAGGACGGGGCGCCGAGTCCCACTTCCTAGGGGGCGTTTAGCAGTGCCCGGGGGTCCCTCTCTCCTGATTGTCTTCACCGAGAGTCTGGGAAGTCCGCGGTGCACACCCGGGACGTACTCAGGAGACCCGCTGTCGCCGTTTCTCTGGGCGGTGTTGGGCAGCCGGGCACCCCGGCCCACACGCGCCGCTGTCCCGTCCCCCTGCAGTTGGCATCACGCACGAGGACTGGTGCTGGAGGAACAAGAGCCTGGAGGTGGACGTGCTGGAGGACGACGTGCCGGCCGTCGAGTTCCGGCAGACGGGCTACATGCTCCGGTGCTCGCTGTCCCACGCCATCACGCTGGTGGGTGCCCCGGATGGTGCCCGCTGGTCAGGGGGGCGGACCCGGCACCTCGGCGCTGGCCGGAGTCCAGCCCCTGCTCTGGCCCCGCGCCTGCTTCCCTGTTGCGGAAAGGCCTGGTCTGAGGCGCCTTTGTTGGGGAGACAGCCCTGCCCCTCCCCGCCTCCCCAGCGCCCCAGGGAGGCCGGGACCAGGGGCCGGGCACAGCGGCTCAGTGGCCACGCGAGAGCACACTTGTTGACCACTGCTTGGCCGTGGGGCTCTGAGGGACCAGCGTCAGCCTGTGTGGACATGCTCAAAGCCCCTAGGTGCCGTGTAGCTGCATCTGTTTCCCCACCAGGGGAGACTTGGGTGGGGCTGCCCCCCCCCCGTCTTGTCTGTCGTCCACCTGCCCCCCCCCCCCCCCCCCCCAGCCTCCCAGAAAGCCACTGTGCACCTGGGTTGGACTTCTGTATCTGCATCTCAATTTGGATTCAGTGTTCCTGACTTAGGGCTGGAGCGATAGCACAGCGGTAGGGCGTTTGCCTTGCACGCAGCCAACATGGCCGACCCGAGTTCGATTCCTCCGCCCCTCTCGGAGAGCCCGGCAAGCTACCGAGAGTATCTCGCCCGCACGGCAGAGCCTGGCAAGCTCCCCATGGCGTACTCGATATGCCAGACACAGTAACAACGAAGTCTCCAACAGATACGTTACTGGGCCCGCTTGAGCAAATCGATGAACAACGGGAGGATCGTGATCGTGATCGTTCCTGACTTGAAACAACTGGTGGAATGCCCCGGTCAGGCCCAACCGGGGAAACTGAGGCAGAGGGCAGTGGAGTGACTGTTTCTCTTCAACGCTGGCACCTCTGGTTTCCCCCTGCCAGCAGTTAACGCTCACCAGGGAGCAGCGTGGCGGCCGGAGCCGTAGGACAGCGGGGAGGGCACTTGCCTCGCCTGTGGCCGACCCGGGTTCGGTTCCTGACACCCCCTGTGGTCCGCTGAGCCTCCCCCAGGCGGTCCCTGAGCAAGCCCTGAGCACTGCCGGGTGTGGCCCCCACACTAGGCACCCGCCTTGCTTGCAGTGAGGCAGGGCGCCCTCGGGGCCGGGGGAGAAGACTGAGGCTCCGGCCCTGTCTTCCTCCCTCCCACCCCTGCTCATCTCCGTTCCTCGGCCCTCGCACCTTCCCCTGCTTCCTCGTACCCATGGCCCATCTTCCGGTGCCGTCCCTCACTCGCTGACGCCTGCGAGTTTCCCGGTGGGCCCCTGAGGACGGGCACCCGCCCCCCGCCCCCTGCCCCCCGCCTGTCCCACGGCGGCCGCCCGGCAAGTGTGGCTTGGTGGAATGAAACGGCGTGTTTGGGTTGCAAGTGTTTGGAGGTTTTTTAATTTTCTGGTGGCATCCGGCTGCCCGGATGATGAATGGGCAGAACAGACGAGTGGCTCCAGAGCAGAAGTGGCATCAATCATCGGGGGGCTGCCTGCCCCGCCCTGGGTGAGTCGGGTGTCTCCTCTGGTCCCCCAGGAGTTCTACCAGGACGGCAACGGGCCCGAGAATGTGGGGATCTATAACCTCTCCAAAGGGGTCAACCGCTTCTGTCTGTCCAAGCCAGGTGAGTAGTGCCGGGCCGGGGAGAGGGGGTCGGCCCCCGGGGAGGGTGGGGGAAGCTTCAGACCTGCCTGTGCCAGGCCGTCAGTTCCCGCTCGGCCAGCGCCGGTTGGCGGGTTTTGCCGCTTCTTTCCTCAGGGATGGAATGGGGGAGCTCTCAGGGGGAGTCGGGGGCATGGGCCTCCCAAGGGCGACTCTGAGGAGAACCGGGCGGGGTTGGGGGCGGCCGAGATGGTCAGAACTGTGTCTGGCTGGAGTGGGGAGGGTTGCACCCTCTCGGGTACCCGGCAGCGCGCGTTCCTCCCCTGTGCGTGGCGTGATCCTCTGCCGAATCGGGATTCTCTGCTGATTCTGGCTGGCCCAAGACCTCTGCCCCGTTTGGACTCCTGAGCGGGGAGGAGTCAGACCGTGGTTCTCCATAAACTGAAGTCTCGAGCAGACTTAGTTCCCTAGGAAGTTCTGGTGTCTCTCACCGGAGCAATGCAGTTCGTGCTCCCTCTTCCAGCCAGGCGGTTCCCTCTCCCTCCTCCCACCGGGCAGCTGGGTGAGGTGTGGAGGGAGGAAGGGAGGGGGGAGCTGGAGGGGGGCCCTCTCCGAACGCGCTTTCCCCGTGTCCCGATGCAGGTGTGTACAAGGTCACCCCACGCTCCTGCCACCGGTTTGAGCAAGCGTTCTACACCTACGACACGTAAGCTGGCGCTGGGGGGGGGCGCTGGGGGGCGAGGTGTGGGCTCCCTGCTGCCGAGAACAGTGGGGGGTTGGTTGTGTTGGGCATTTGTCCCAGACGGAGGATTTCCAGGCAAGGATCTCGGGCTTGGCCGGCCCACTAGGATGGGGGAGCGAAGCTCTTCCCGAGAGACCTGCGAGCTCAGGGGACGGGGGCTCTGAAGTGGCGTCAGGGAACCGTTTTCCCCAACGGCGCCAGGACTCGTTGCGCAGCGGGTCCGGGAGTGTGGGGGCCGTGCCGAGAAAGACCCTCCGGGAGCAGCCAGTGTCTGTTCACCTTCCTGCCAAATACAAACCTCGCATAGGGGCTTTACGGGAAGGTCCAGTCCCATGAAGTTCCCGTTACTGGCCTGTCTCCTCTCCAACTCTGCTTTGCCCCGGTCCAATCCCAGTCGCGGCTAGAGGCTGCGGTCAGGATGCCCTGCTAAGCGCTTCGTCCGTGACAGTTTCTGTGTCGGGCTCACGTGACTAGGAGGTCCAGTGAGGCTCAAGGCCGGACACCCGGTGCTAACCTCGCATTCCCGCCAACTTTGCCCGGACCCTCCCTTCCGGGCCGCTTTGCGAGGTCGGGGCTTGCCTGCTCCAGGGCCCTGTGTTGCCGTGCTCCACGTGGTGGCTTCAGTGGAATCTTCAAGGGGTCTTTCAGTCCTCACCTGTGGGAGATTGTCCAGGCTTCAAGCCTGCCATTTGGACACTTTCCTGGGGCTCTGGGTTCCGCTGGGCCACACCCGACGGTGCTCCAGGCTGACTCCTGGCTCTTGCCTCCAGGGCCACTCCTGGAGGAACTTGGGGAGTCCGACGGGGAGCTGGGGATCAAAGCTGGGTCGGCGGCTGTGTGCAGGCCAGGCGCACTCACTGCCCGGGGTCCCACCTCCCCGGCCCTCCCAGGCCCCGCCCTGCCCCGAGAAGGAGGCCTTCCTTGCACGCCCGTCCCGACAGCGCCGTTCGTTTGGGGGGCAGAATCTTGGCATGTTCCTGATCCCCAAACTGACCTGCAGGGTCACGCCCAGGCCGCACAGCAGTGTCCAGGGGCGGAAGCAGGAGGAGAACGGCTGGGCAAGGCCCGCGGGGGGCCCTTCTGGGAGGAGGAGCCTCCGGGGTCCCCGGGGAGCCGGGACATCCTGGGCGCCAGCGTGACGTGCCCCGTCTCTGACTTCTAGGTCCTCGCCCAGTATCTTGACGCTGACGGCGGTCCGCCACCATGTCCTGGGCACCATCACCACTGACAAGATGATGGATGTCACCGTGACGATCAAGTGCGTCCCGGCCGCCTCCCGCGGTGGGCAGGTGTGGGAGGCCCCTGCTGACGGGCCCGCCGAGAGGCATCGCTGGTCTCTCCTGTCCTCGGGCACGTGCCCCTGGCCTGTTCCGCTGCTGCCCACGGCCACACTGGCCATCTCAACCGCTGCCCCTCTCCCTTCCCTGAGGGCTAGAGTGCGGGCGCTCCCGAGCCGTCATTTTGTTTTGGGGACCACACCCAGCAGTGCTCACCCAGCAGTGCTCGGGGCTCACTCCTGGCTCTGTGCCGAGGGGTCACTGCTGGGCCCCCTGGGAGAGGGAGCCAGTTTCCAAATGGCTGCAGAGTCCGTGGGTGTCACTCCCCTGGCCCAGCTCTGCCCGGTCCTTATTGTCTTACCTGCTAGCTGGCGTGGGAGGAAGGGGCTCTCGGGCCATGCCCGGGGGGCCTGGAGCCGCTCTGCCGGAGCCCTCGCCCGCCCTGGGCTGGAGGGTCAGTCGTGCTTGGGGTCTGCAGTGCCGGGGACTTGGGGCTCCCCAGGGCCGAACCCGCGGTGGTGGGGCTGGTCCCTTCTGCCCTGCTCCCTCCCCGGGCCCTTCCCGACGGGGGCTGGAAGCGCCAGCCCCCGAGACGCTGGGCTGCCCTCCGCCCGCAGGTCGTCCATCGACAGCGAGCCGGCCCTGGTCCTGGGCCCGCTGAAGTCGGTGCAGGAGCTGCGGCGTGAGCAGCAGGTGGCAGAGATAGAGAGCCGCCGGCAGGCGCGGGAGAAGAGCAGCGAGCAGCCCGGCGAGGGCAGGACCAAGCCCCCCGCGCAGGAGGTGGTGGACGAGCTGCAAGGCCCCTTCTCCTACGACTTCTCCTACTGGGCCCGGTGAGCGCCCCCCCGCCCCCATTGCCCGCCCGCCCGCCCGGCGGCGTCCCCCCCGGCTGAGCGCTGCCGTCCGTCCTGCAGGTCGGGGGAGAAGATCACCGTCACGCCCTCGTCCAAGGAGCTGCTCTTCTACCCGCCGTCCATGGAGGCCACCGTCAGTGGGGGTCAGTGTCCCCCGCACAGCTGTCCTGCCGGCATGGCGGGAGGGGCCGGGCCGCGGCCACTGCTCTCATGGCTTCGTCCCTCCCGCCGGCCCTTTTGGATTTCTGGGCGGGCGGGGTTCTTTGGGCGGACTCCTGGGTGCTCGGGGATCACTCCTGGTGGGCTTGGGGGACCCTCCGGGGTGCCGGGGATCGGACCTGGGTCGGCTGTGTGCAAGGCCAGCACTCCGCCCGCTGTGCTGCCTCCGTGGCCCCGTGTTGGCTCTCTGGAAAGGAGCTCGGCCATCGCTCAGTGCCAGCTTCAGGCCCTGTGTCTGCGTGGCGTCCCGCGGGCCCGGGCTTGGGGCCTGGCTGCCAGTGGCGGGCGCGCCCGTTGGCTGCGGGTTGTCTTGTCTGTCCCAGCACCGCGCACCGCCAGGCCCCGGCGAGGAGGATCTGGAGCTGAAGTGGCGGGGGCTCCCCTGCACATGGCCCGGGGTCTGCGGGCGGCCGTGAGCTCCGGCCAAGGCGTGTCCCCGGGAGGGCCCAGCCGCTGAGCGAGAGTTTCAGGGCCAGGGAGAGGCTCGGTGTCCTTGCGCCGAGGGGGTCCGCGGTCAGTCCTCTCTGGGGGTGGGTCTCCCCGCCACTCCCCGGGAGCCCGAGGCCTCTCCCGTTGGCCCTTGACAAGTGGCGCTGGGCCTGACGGTGGCATCCGGGCCTGCAGTGTTGGGGGTCCCTGGGGCTGTGCCTGGGAGTGCTCGGGGGCCATGCGTGGCCAGAAGGGTCACACTCAGGGCCTCACGGGGCAGCACACGTTTGAACCCCGACCCCCTCAGCCCTCTCCCCAGCTTTCCTCAGGTGGCCCCCACGGTCCCCCGGGCTCAGCCCCTCTCCCTGCCCTCCCTCCCGCAGAGAGCTGCCCCGGGAAGCTGATTGAGATCCACGGCAAGGCCGGGCTGTTCCTCGAGGGCCAGATCCGGCCGGAGCTGGAGGGCGTGGAGATCGTCATCAGCGAGAAGGGCGCCAGCTCCCCGCTCATCACGGTCTTCACGGATGACAAAGGGGCCTACAGGTGAGGTGCCCGGAAGGTGCCGGGAGGGGGGTGGCGGGAAGGGGTGGTTTGGGGGTGCGTGTGTGTGTGGGGGGGGTTGCTGTGCCCCTCCCGGGGCCCCCGAGGCAGGCGGTGCTGCTGAGTGCCTGCCTCTCCCGAGCAGCGTGGGGCCCCTGCACAGTGACCTGGAGTACACGGTGTCCTCGCAGAAGGAGGGCTACGTGCTGACGGCCGTGGAGGGCACCGTGGGCGACTTCAAGGCCTACGCCTTGGCGGGCGTGAGCTTCGAGGTGAGACTCGGCGGCAGTGCGGGGTGTCCCCCTTCGAGCCCTCTGGCCGGCCCACAGCGGTCAGTTGCAGTTAGAGCGGGGTGGGGGTGGGGGGGTGCCCAGAAAAGCGTGCCATTTGGTTGTTCCTCCCGGAGCACCGTTGGGAGAGCCCGGGCACGTCTGTCCTGGAGTTTCCTTGGCTTCTCGCTCCCTGATCCCCTTTCCAGGCAAATTTGCTGCCAGTTGACTCTCAAAGAGTTGGCGTTTGGGGAGGGGTGTGTGTGTGTGTGGGGGGGGGTTTAGGGCCCGCCCAGCAGTGCTCAGGGGCCACTCCCCCAAGTACTGGTTCACCAAGTGGTTCTGGGCCTTGAACCCAGGCCTCTTGCTGGCAAAGCCCCAGGCCGGAGTGGTCCAGACCCTGTGAATGGCTTTTGGCTTTTGGTTTGGGCCAGACCTGGGAGTCAGTGGCTGCTTCAGGCTTGTTGCTAGGGTCACCCTGGTGGGTCTGGGTCACTCCTGGGTCACTCCTGACGGGGCTGGGGGTGGGCTCGGGCCTTGTGCTTGCAGACACCTGCTCCGGCCTGTTGCGCTGTCTCCTGCCATCAGGCAAGAGGCCCCGTTCTCGGCCTTTGTCCTTGCGGGTGCCCAGAGCTCCCCCAGTCATTTTGACATAGATTAAGGAAAACGGTGACAGTGTCCGTCAGAGCAGACCTTTAAGTGCTCAGGCCGAGGAAGGCTCTGCTGCAGGGTCCCCAAGACAGACAGACAACTAGACACTCAGATAAGACAACAGACACACACGCTCTCTGGGACTGAAGTACCTGTTGGAGGGTCCCCACCACATGGCTCCCCACTTCCCCCTGAGGGCCGAGACAGCCCTGCAGACCCCCACACGCCTGCTGCTGACCTGCTCACCTGTCCCCGTGTCCCCCGGGCCCCCAGATCAAAGCCGAGGATGACCAGCCCCTCCCCGGGGTCCTCCTGTCCCTGAGCGGCGGAGTGTTCCGGTCCAACCTCCTGACGCAGGACAATGGCATCCTGACCTTCTCCAACCTGGTGAGGTGTCCCCAGCTCCCGGCTGCCTGTGTTTCCGGGGGGGGGGGGGCCCTGCATGGGAGAGGCGCGGAGCACCCCACCGAGTGCCAGAAGGTTCCGGGGGTGGGGGGTACCGTGTGTTGGCCAGGGTCTGATGCTGGGATCCATGTTCCCAGGCCACCCATGGGGTGTGTCTTGTCACGGAGACTCGCTCGTCGCCACGCCCCCTTTCTTCACGGCTGTGGGCTACGGCTTTTGGTTTGGTGTCTGGTTCAGGGCTCGGCCCAGCCCCGGGGGGGAGTCTGGGCTCCTTCTCCCGGAGCCCCGAGCCCCTTGTCGTGGCGTTTGTCTGTGTGGGTATCCCCAGGGGACCTGCCCATAGCCACCTGCTTCCTTCTGGGCCGCTTCAGGCCGGTGGCTTGGCCTCCAGATAGAACCCAGACCCAGGCAGGTGCCGCCGTAGAACCGGGCCGGGGTCCTGGGCGGCCCAGCGTGTGTGTGTGTGTGTGTGTGTGTGTGTGTGTGTGTGTGTGTGTGTCTGTGTGTGTCTGTGTCTGTCGGGGGCTTGGGCAGGGCTCACCCCTGCTCATCCCCCAGAGCCCGGGCCAGTACTACTTCAAGCCCATGATGAAGGAATTCCGCTTCGAGCCCTCCTCGCAGATGATCGAGGTGCATGAGGGCCAGAACCTGCGCATCACGGTCACCGGCTACCGGACGGCCTACAGGTGAGGGGCGGCAGCGAGGGCCCGTGCGCGGCTGTCCCCCGAGGCCCTGTCCACTCGCGCCTCATGCTGGCCGCTCGCCAGCGCCCCCTGGTGACACAGGCCCAGAGCCTGGCTGCGCGCTTCGGGGTCTCCTTTTTTCTTACTTTTTGGGGGGTTGGGCCACACCTGCCTGTGCTGAATCCTGGTTGACTCCTGGCTCTGTGCTCAGGGATCTCTGGGGGTGGAGCTTGGGGGACCCTACAGGGTGCCGGGCGCAAGGTGTCTGCCCTGCCCATTATAGCCCTGGCCCCGGATTTCCTTCTCTTTTACTTTTATTTATTTATTTTTTTTGCTTTTGGGGTCACATCCGGCGTTGCACAGGGGTTACCCTGGCTCATGCACTCGGGAATGACTCCTGGCGGTGCTCGGGGGACCAGATGGGATGCTGGGAATCGAACCCGGGTCGGCCCCGTGCAAGGCAAATGCTCTTCCCGCTGTGCTCCCAGATTTCCTTCTTTAAAAGGAGGAAACGTGTTTCCCGGGTTAAAGCGTCCCTGCACCCCCGGAGTGTGGAGTGTAGAAAGTGAAGAAGCTTCTTGCCTCTCCGTGTCTCCGGCCACCTGTTCTCGGTGTGTCTGGACTAGACCGGAGAGTTGTTTTTTCTTTCTTTCTTTTTGCTTTTTGGGTCACACCCGGCGATGCGCAGGGGTTCCTCCTGGCTCTGCACTCAGGCATTACTCCTGGCGGTGCTTGGGGGACCCTATGGGATGCTGGGGATCGAACCCGGGTCGGCTGTGTGCAAGGCAAATGCCCTACCTGCCGTACTATCACTCCAGCCCCTAGACCAGAAAGTTTGTTCCAAGACCGGTAGTTGAGTGCATGAATTACATCGATTCATGCCCACGACTCCGAGTGGGTAATATTACGTGTATTCCGATGTCCTCTAGATGAAAGATGGGTGAATCGGGAGTGGATTTTAGAATAATGAGCCGTTTCCAGCTGCAAGTGTGGAATGGAAGAGGAAGTGATTTATTTTCCATTTATTGGATGCTTCGTTATTTTAAGATAAAACTGAGCAGAACTCAAATACGATAAACTCAAGTTTCACCCTTTTAAGTTTTGACTTTTTTTTAACACTCCCGTCATTTTCTTTCCAAGGCCCGAAAAAGAAATAGACCCATGGGCCGGCCCCAGCCTTCCAGCGGGGACTGACCCAGCTGGTGCGGAAGCCCCGGGCCCCGGGATCCCCTGGCCCCTGAGCGCTGGCCACTGCCCGCTCCCCTCACGCCCCATCTCCCCTCTGACCCCAGCTGCTACGGCACCGTGTCGTCCCTGAACGGGGAGCCTGAGCAGGGCGTGGCCGTGGAGGCCGCAGGCCAGGGCGACTGCAGCATCTACGGGGAGGACACGGTGACCGACGAGGAGGGCCGCTTCCGGCTGCGCGGCTTGCTGGTGAGTCCCCGGCGCCGGGCTCGAGGGGGTCCTGGGTCACGTGCTTCTTGTCACCCACACAGCCCCCCTCGGGCTGGCCTGGGTGACAGGGCCCGGCGCTGGTGGGTGGCACTTAAGCAGGGGGAATGGGAGTGGTGGGCCACGGCTGGGTGTGCGGAGGAGGGCAGGGGGCTGCCTCGCAGTCTCAGTGGCTCAGCGTCCAGGCGTTGGGACAAGTCAGAAACCCAAGTTTCCAGGTGAATTCCTCTGGTGATCAGATGCGAGCTGTGAACTTAAAACAACGACGAAACAAACTCGCATTCCTTGGGCCACGTTGTGATGCCGGTGGTGGAACCACACGGGGTTGCCCTCCCCCACCGCACCCTTCTCTCAGCCTGCCAAAGCATCACCAGCTGTTCCCCGTGTTTGATTTTTGGTTTTGCTTTTGCTTTTTCTTTTGGATCACACCCAGCGATGCTCAGGGGTTCCTCCTGGCTCATGCACTCAGGAATTACTCCTGGCGGTGCTCGGGGGACCCTGTGGGATGCTGGGAATCGAACCCGGGTTGGCGGCATGCAAGGCAAACACCCTCCCCGCTGTGCGATCGCTCCAGCCCCTGTTCCCCATGAAGACCCCTTGGGGTACAGCAGAACCACGCGTGTGGCTTTTGACTGCCAAGTTGCATCTTCAGTTCAGGAGTGCTTCTTCCCCTGAGGAGGCCCGGGGCACCGAGGCGGGAGGGGCAGTACCTGGCGGCAGGCGCTGGATACCTGCGGCTCCCGCCGGAGAAGTGACTCTGGGATTCTTTGCAGCCGGGATGTGTCTACCACGTGCAGCTCAAGGCCGAGGGCAACGACCACATTGAGCGGGCCCTGCCCCACCACCGGGTCATCTCGGTGAGTCCAGGGACCCCCGACCCAGCCGCCTCTACCCTCTGACTCTCACCCTGACCCAGCTGCCTCCATCTTCTGACTCTCACCCTGACCTAGTTGCCTCCACCCTCTGACTTGCCCTCAAGAGGCCTGATTCCAGGCCCAGGGAACGATGTGGCTCATTCCTTGGCTGGCGGGGGCCCAGGGAGGGGGCGGGATGCTCAGCCGTGGGTGTGAGGTTGGGGGCCGGGAGGGGCCATCAGGGCGCTGGGTGGAGAAAGGGGGTTTTCTGGGTGTCTCCGTGCACCTGGTACCCCGGCAGCCGGGGCAGCCGCGTCTTAATGTTCCTGGTTCCCGGCCCCGTGGCTCCAGGCTGCTCCTGGCAGGGCCCTGCGCCCCCGGCCACGCTGGAGCGAAGGTCTCGGCACCGTTTAACACATCGTCCCGTCACTGAGGCAGAGGAGCTGACTCCCGGGGCTGCATGTGTCACGGCCGAGACCCCGAGCTGCTCCGGGGCGGGCCTGGGTCCCCTCCTGGCGGAAGCGAGGGCAGGTCCCTGCACCCCTCACCTTCTCAGCCCCGACCCCCCTTCCCCCCAGGTCGGGAACAACGACATCGACGACATCAACATCATCGTGTTCCGCCAGATCAGCCAGTTCGACCTGAGCGGGAACGTGATCACGCCCTCCGAGTACCTGCCCACGCTCTGGGTGAGACCCTCGTCCCGAAGGCTTCCCCGCGGGGCTTCCCAGCCCGGGCCCAGCGAGGGCTCCAGAAACTTCCAGAAACGTCCCTCTTCAGATTTGGTGCACGCTGCGTCTCGCCCGGTGGGCTGAGGGGCGCGCGCTCCCTGGCCGGCGGGTCGTCTCGCCCCGAGTGTCTCCAAAGAGTCCCCGCCCCCCCCCCCCAGAGACCCCCCGGGCATGTCTGAGCGGGGTGGGAGCGTCGGCCGCGGGCCAGTCTCATCAGCGTGGCCCGTTCCCGTGGTGCAGGTGAAGCTGTACAAGAGCGAGAACCTGGACAGCCCCGTGCAGACCCTGTCCCTGGGCCAGTCGCTCTTCTTCCACTTCCCGCCTCTGCTGCGCGATGGCCAGGTGAGCCCCTCCCGGCGCCCACCCTTGGCTCAGAGCTCAGCACGGGCGGGGACCCCTGGAACTGGAACCAGCCAGTGTGTGTGTGGGGGGGATGCTGTGACTTTGTCCCTGCCAGGCGAGCTCCCTACGGGAGCCACGTCCCGGGGCGTGCCCCGGCCCCCATCAGCGCCCCCCACCCCCAGGCGGGCCATGGGCTTCAGGAGCATGATGGGGAGGTCTCTGCCCGGGGTCGGGACGGAACCAGAGATCTGTCTGGAGCGGAAGCTCACACACAGCAGAGACAGGTCCACCGGGTGGGCCTGGGACCCAGACACGTCCTCAGGACACGTCAGAAAAGCACTCAGCTCTCTTGGCATCGGGGCCAAGGTCCCCTGGGAGACAGGGACTGGGGGCCTGAAGAAAGGACCTGTGTGTGGGGGCGGCCCTTGACTGGCCGGCCGGAGGGGCCACCTCTTGGAAGGCGGGTGGCATTTTTATTTTTTTTCTTTTTGGGGCACACCCAGCGATGCTCAGGGGTTCCTTCTGGCTCTGCACTCCTGGCGGTGCTCGGGGGACCATATGGGATGCCAGGGTCGAACCCAGGTCGGCCTCATGGACAGCAAATGCCCTCCCCACTGTGCTGTCGCTCCGGCCGATAGGTGGGGTTTTCTTTAAAAAGCAGGAGTAGGGGCCCCAGATCCTCACCAGGAGTGATCTCTGAACTCCCGAGCACAGCCGGCGTGTCCCCCCCAAAATAAAACACAAAGAATAAAATTAAAAGCCAAGTGGAAGCATGCCCTGGGCCCGCCGCCTGGTGTCGGGGCACGTATGTGGAGGCCCCAGGAGCACTCGGTCGCCAGGAGCAGCGTGACCCAGGAGAGCCCAGCAGGGCCAGCCCAGGGGGAGGCAGCCTGTGGCCAGCCCACGCCTTCCCTGGCGGGCACTGGCGGGCCATGCCAGGGAGACGTTGCCCACCCGAGTGGCCGATGAAGGCCTGACAGGCGTGAGGAGAACGGTGTCTCGGCGCAGAGGCAACTGGGGGAGCAGGCGGGGGGCCTGGTGGCTGCGTCCGGGCGACCCTGGGTGCCCCCTGCGAGCCCTGGGTCACAGGAGAGGCCGCCCGCCCTGGCTCGGTCCCCGCTGACGGAGCTCCTTGCTGCGCGCAGAATTACGTGGTGCTGCTGGACTCCACGCTGCCCCGCTCGCAGTACGACTACGCCCTGCCCCAGGTCTCCTTCGCGGCCGTGGGCTACCAGAAGCACATCACGCTGGTGTTCAGCCCCACGGTGAGGGGCGCCTGGAGCCCGGGGATGTCGCTGTTCCTGTGGTCGCAGGGGCGGGGGGAGGAGCGTTCCTTTCCTGTTGTCATGCTCGGAGCGCCCCAGGTCGCTGCCTCTCAGGGACCCCTGGCTGTCCCCGAGGCGGGCCGGGGGCTGACGGGCGTCCCCCTGGCCTTCCAGCGGCGGCTCCCGGAGCAGGACATCGCGCAGGGCTCCTACATCGCCCTGCCCCTCACGCTGCTCATCCTGCTGGCCGGCTACAACCACGAGAAGGTCGGTAGGGCCGGAATCCAGGCTGGGGTTGGGGTCCTGGCGGAGACGCCGGGGTGGGGGACGGGGGCAGGGCTTGGTGGGCATCGGTCTGGGGAAGGTGCCGCGGACGGCCCAGACATCAGTCGTGCAGGGCCAGCCCCGCCAGTGGCCGCCCGCTCGCTCACGGCCCCTCCGTGTCCCCCGCTTCCAGCTCATTCCCTTCCTGCTGCAGCTGACCAGCCGGCTGCAGGGCGTCCGAGTCCTCGGCCAGGCGGCCTCCGACAGCAGTGGCCCCGAGGACGCCAAGCGGCAAGCCAAGAAACAGAAGACCAGGCGGACGTGAGGGGCGGAGACTGCGGGCCTCTCCCCATGTGGGACTCACCCGGCTCCGTGCCGCTGGCCCGGGCCCCACTGTTGGCCTCTGCCGCCGCCTCGGCGCGATGACCAGCCCCTCCTGTCACTCTGCTGAGCACAGTCTATTCTGGGAGTTGAAGATAATTTATTATTATTATTGTTATTTGGTGGTTTTTTTTGGTCCAGGGTTAAGAATGGCATCGCGAGCCTCTGGCATTCGTCTGCGCGTGGGGTGTCGCCTCCCTGAGGCGGCCCCGGCGGACTTGCCTGCCCCATCCATCCGTCCGTCCGTCCGTCCATCGCTGACCTTTGCATCCAAGTCCCCGGCAGGCAGGACCATGCCGCCATCTCCCCTGGGAGGGTGTGTGGGGGGAGGCAGGAGGCAATAAAGCCTGTTGTCCGTGTGCAGGTGCTCACGTGTTTCCTGGGCGTTGGCCAGTGCCCGTGCCCACGGGGCGGGCGGGTGGCCCGAGGCAGGAGGCACCCCCCAGCAGAGGCCAGGAGGTGGACGGGTTGCTGTCCCCTGGCCTGGCCATTCGGTGCGGGGACGGTGGAACCGGGGCAGAGGGAAGCTCCCCTCCGGCTCCCGTGGCCCCCGTGGCGCCAGAAACAGTTTCGCTCGATACACGCAGCGTCTCCTGCTGGGGACGAGGGTCAGTGGTTTCAAGGAACGAGGCATTTGGGGGTCTGGGAGGTGACCCCAAGGGCCGGAGCATGTGTTTTGCGTGTAGCAGGCCCAGATCCGTTCCGCAACCACACGCACACACACACCCTACCCAGCACCCCCACGGCACCACCACAGGGGATGGCCGGGAACATATAAACCTGCACCCGTGCTTCGGGCCCAAGCCAGTGCCTCCAAGCCAGGTGAGGGCCCGGGCCCCCGAGGCCCACGGATGCAAGGCTCCTGTCCCCGCAGAGCCGCCGAGGGAGGGCCACAGCCTCCCCACCCTTTGTGACCAGGACGGGGGCGCCAGATAAGGGAGTTCAGGGACAACAGCCCGCATGTCCCCGGTGGGTGGGTCAGTGGAGAGGCGACTCCCTGGCGGGTGGAGGACCAGCCAGGGGGCAGAATGGAGGACTTCCTGGTGGAGGGAACTGAACCTACTGGTGGGCTTCAGGAGCTTCTAGAAACTTCTGGAGTTTGAGTCTGGAGAAAGAGGGAAAGGAACTAGGAAAGCTTAGGTGCTGAAGGGTAGCGGAGGGTCTCTCGGTAGCTGCCCGTGGCCAGCACAACTGGCCTTTGCGAGGGGTTTCCTGATGGCAGAAGCAAGGGTCAGCAGCAGAAGGGAAACATAACTTTGGTTCTTTTTTTTTTTTTGTAATTCTAAGATAGGGGAATATTTTCTAACTCATTTCAAGATGACCCTCAGGACCCAAGCCAGGTGAGGGCCCGGGCACACACACACACACACTTTGAAATATTGGGGCTTTCCATAGCTGCGGGATGATGCGTGCCCTGCAGTTCCCTGGGCCGCCGTCAAGGGGCAGTCTCGGCCCACGGCCCAGCCTGCAGCAGTGAGGCTCCCTGGGAGCTGAGGGCTTGGGAACCGGCAGCGGTTCTAGGGGGCCCGGGTCCATCCCCAAGGAACATTTTAAACTGCTTCTAACGGATTCCGGAGGCAATAGGAACAATCCATCCTTGTTGGGGACCGGGAGGGGGAGGGGTGAGAAGGGCAGCGGGGGGAGGGGCCCCAGGGAGCAACAACCGCTGCTCAGGAGGGAAGAAGGTTCCGGAGGAGGCCAAAGGGGACCCTTGAACCTGAGCTCAGCAGGAGGCCCGAGCCTTTCTCGAGGGCTGAGTCTCCTCACTCGGGTCTGGGGGCCTTCCCTGGCCGCTCTAGTGTCCGACAGCGGACAGTGAATAGGGAAGCAGAGACCCACAGTGGACACGCACCCGCGCCCCGTGCTCCTGGCCACATGCCGTCCATCACCCCTAAAGAGTGATCTCAGAGACTTCTTTTTTTAGTTTCTTTAACGTTTAAATTTAATTTTCACATTCACTATTTCAGCACCAGTCCCAGCACCGTTATTTTGAGTTTTCCCACCACCACCCAAGCCTGCCCCATAGGCACATGCTAAATAATTTATTTTGTATTGCTTGTTACGAATGGTACGAGGTGCGCAGCGCGAGCTCCTGGAATCCTAAAAATTTAAATAATTGGGGTCCGGAGACATCTCTGCAGCGAGCTGCTCTCTTCTGAGATTCATTTGTGAGTCTCTGGATCGCGGCCCTTAATGCGCTTAAATGGAGCCCGGAGGCAGCTGGTGGGCGTGACTGTGGGGATCCCAGTAAGGGCGGGGAGATGGAGGGAGGTTGCCGGTTTCCTTGAGGCCTGAAGTTTTCAGTCACTGGTCAGGAATTTTTTTTTTTCCTTTCGGGTCACACCCGCCAATGCTCAGGGGTTCCTCCTGGCTCTGCACACAGGAATCACTCCTGGCAGTGCTCGGGGGAACCATATGGGATGCTGGGAATCGAACCCCGGTCGGCCGTGTGCAAGGCAAACGCCCTCCCCGCTGTGCTATGGCTCCAGCCCCAGGAGCCTTATCTTGAGGTGAAGTGATGGGGACGAGGAAGCTTCTCCCCCTTGTGGGACTCAAAACACACAGGACCAGTCTAGTCAGAAGAGAAGCACGAGCCCTCTTCAAGGACCATTCTGCGGACGTCCTAACTGGCATTCTCCCAGCTCTCAGGGCCATCAATGGGATCTTGGCGCAGAGAAAAGAAGGGGAGGCATTACGTAAAAATAAGGAAATCCCAGTTAATAGTAAGGCATGCATAGGAGGGGTACACCAGAATGCTGTGTACTGCCTGTCATGCGAAAACAATCCTAAAATCTTTTACACTTGAAAAAGTGAATACGGGGACTGGAGCGATAGCTCAGCGGGGAGGGCGTTTGCCTTGCACGCGACCGACTTTGGTTCGATTCCCAGCATCCCATCGGGTCCCCCGAGCACCGCCAGGAGTAATTCCTGAGTGCAGAGCCGGGAGGAACCCCTGAGCATTGCCGGGTGTGATCCCTCCCCCAAAAATGAATGTGAATAGTGTCATATGTGCAACTTAATGTGTCTTTTTTTTCTTTTTGGGTCACACCCAGCGATGCACAGGGGTTCCTCCTGGCTCTGCACTCAGGAATTACTCCTGGCGGTGCTCGGGGGAACCATATGGGATGCTGGGAATCGAACCTGGGTCGGCCGCCTGCAAGGCAAACGCCCTACCGGCTGCGCTCTCGCTCCAGCCCCCCTTAATGTGTCTTTGATGGAGTCCAGTGTGACTTTGCTCTGGGCCTCACCTCTAGAAAGATGCCCACCATAACCAGTGACTTCGAATAGGATGTGACCCAGCTTTCACACTGCACCGATCCGTGTGCCTGGAAAGGGCAGAATAACAGCATCAGCAAATTATAGTCGATGGGCCAAATTTAGCTAGTTGCTTGTTTTTGTCATTCAAAAAAAAAAAAGGAAACAAAGCCACACCCAGTCATTTATGTGTTTCTTGTCGATAAAGTTTTATTGAGATACAGCCACAGCCGTTTCTGTACAGTAATTTGTTTCTTGTCGATGGAGTTTTATTGGAACATAGCCCCCACACAGTAATTCTCTCCACCTTGGCGGTTTCCCAATGACAGCAGGATTGAGGAGTGGTGGCAGAGATGACCTGGCCCGCAACAGATTTCCTATCTGACTCTACCCAGCTGTCACCGTCCCGTCCCGTCTCGGGATCCTTGCAGGGACAAGTGTTATTTTTTGGTTGTTGTGTTTATTTTAACAACAGCACACAGCTGGGCAAAGCCCAAGACTTGCTTTTTTTTTTTTTTTTTTTGCTTTTTGGGTCACACCCAGCAATGCACAGGGGTCACTCCTGGCTCATGCGCTCAGGAATTACCCCTGGCGGTGCTCAGGGACCCTATGGGATGCTGGGACTCGAACCCGGGTTGGCTGCGTGCAAGGTAAACGCCCGCCCCGCTGTGCTATTGCTCCAGCCCCAAGACTTGCTTCTTAAGACTGAATCGGATCGTCAATGCCGAACGTTGCCCCATAACTCGCTTCCGGCCGCCTTGGACCAGCATATCGTGCGGGATGAACCGTTCTCCGAGATCTGTGGCCTGATCTGACAGGCAGACGGCCCCGTGCTGCTTTCTGTCGCGTCCCTTCCCCTCCGAACAAGATGAAATCTTGATCCCGGCATCGCTCAGGAACTCCGGGGTCTCTCGGGAGCCCGACTTCTTTGGGGGTCTGGCTTCTTCCTGTCCATATCTCTTCGGCAGCGGAGAGAGCGTGCGGAATTTTTCCTGGCCCGGGGCCTGGGCCCTGCTTGGGGCTGGGCTGTGTGACGAGGCGCTGGCTGACCCCCGGGTCGCCGAGCTGTAGGCTGTGGTACCTGTGAGAAAGACCCCCGTGGCCCCTGCCGCACATCGAACCCCTCCTCGGGCAGGGGCTGGCTGCCACCAGGTGGTCCCTGCTGTGCCTGGGTCTGACCTTGGGGGTGTTCATGGTGTCCTATGGGCTGGTCAAGCCAAAGAAAAGTGAAATTGGATCGTTAGACAGCAGAGTTTCCTCCGCATGTGCTGTGATGTAATGGTACCAGTTCAGTTTCCTCAGTTTACCCAGTATACTTACTGTCCACGCATGCCGAGTAAGCCTGGAACCTGTACTGGCACTGGGTTTGGAAGGGGTGTGTGTGTGTGTGTGTGTGTGTGATCTCCAAGTAGATCTCCAAGCCTACTTGGATTGGGGCCGAGCATCCTACACTCGCGGCCGCGCGACATCTTATTGTGACATCTTATTATCTCATTCCTACTTTGGACAAACTGGCAGGCTACCAAATGTAGCCTGCCCACACGGCAGAGTCTGGCAAACTCCCCGTGGCGTACCCAATATGCCAAATACCAGTAACAATGATGGGTCTCATTCTCCTAAAGAGCCTTGAATATAATCTCAGGGCTAGGATGAAGGAGACGTTACTGGGGCCTGCTCGAGGCAATCGACGATTAACAGGATGATTTGTGATTTGTGTGTGTGTGTGTGTGTGTGTGTGTGAGAGAGAGAGAGAGAGAGAGAGAGAGAGAGAGAGAGAGAGAGAGAGAGAGAGGCAGACTGACTGAAAGACAGAGAGAAAAGGGGGAGAGAGAGACAGAGACCAAGAGAGCACTGAGGTTGGGAGC